GCTCTTCCGGGACTATCCAGAGGAGAGTTGGCTTCTCGAGACCCACACACGCGAGACCTTGGCTACGCGCGTCGTCTCAGCTGTTCCATGCTTCCACTTCGCGATGCTGGATCAACGGTCGTAAAGAAAATCTCACACCCTCCGGTGCGCAGCGTGGTCGTGTTTCCCACGACGCGTTCGCACAATGAAACCGCCATTCGATGCTTTTCAACTGGTAAGAATGCATACCGGTGATTAATTTGCCGGCGATCCTGCAAGCAGATAACGCTTTCACACCGTCCCAAGGACTCGATTGCGCGAATAGGATTCGTATCGAAACCTACGTTCGGTTATCCTCCTTTGAGGAAAGGAAACAACGAGGAGACGTAATACACAGGGTATTTACGGTCTCAGAGAAAAATCGTGCGAAATTCGATCTTCGTAGCTTTCGCGGAACGCGAGTTCTAGGGATTCTGGTGTCCACCTGTTCGTCAGGATCACTGACCAAAGGCTCTGTTTCTATGATTCGTCGAAGCTCGTCACGTGCTCGCGATGCGCGCGCATTCTACTCCATTATACCCGGCACGTGAACTCGTTACGTTTGACCGCTATCCCGAGGTATTTTCTTGCAGGTCGAAAGATCGAATAGCTCGTTTTCGATAAATTCTGTAGTTTACATGTCGATTAAGTTTTCTGCTCACGTCGGGCATAGAACGCCCGTTTAATTAAGCCCGCATGCTCGGCCAGCGAGAAAATGTCCGATGTCTAATTCAGCGGGCGGACGAGGCTAATCAAGATTCGAGTCTTCGCCGCTGGAATCGATTGACTCCGAACCAGACAGCTGCATACGTAAGTCGAGAGGATATTGCCAATATCCTTACGCTACCATGTTATTAGGATAATAGTTACTCGCGGCGGGACTAACGCGAGTGTCCATTCCTGGTGCCCCGGGCGTTTGCATAACATTATAACATATTTTTAGGAACAACGCAGGGTATACTTAGCTCTAAAAGAGTCTATAAATTCTATTTTTAGTTTTCCTTCGATACTCGCCGCTGTGTATATTGATTCGAATGGCGAGTCGATGGTTCCCTTGCACATTCCTCGAACTTAAATTTAATTCGCGACGAGAAAAGATCTGGATGATGGCATTCGCGGCGTGACTATCGTAGAAATCTGTTTGACCGACGGAAACCGTGGCACCTCGTATTCGTCGTTTCCAATGGGACGCGCGATCCACGCTAACGCTTGGAACGTGGTCGCAATTAGGCAATAAGGACTGTTATCGATAAAGAGGCACGAACTAATCGGCACGAGCCAGCTCGAGCGTGACTCGACACCGTTTCATTATTCCGTGAACGCTTTGATGATCTTCTGGGTTAGGCTACGTAGACCGTCTTCAAGAGGCACCTTCATTAACCGGCTGACGAATGAACATTAATAAGCCCGGGCTTCCAAGTGGAGGCGCGTTCGCGCGCGACTCATCAGCCTCTTTGATGAAACCCGAGATCTATGTTTATCCCGGGCATCCTTTGATTCGCTGACTAGGACTCCAATTTTGCGGTGAACACGGAACGACGTATTTTCGTCTTGATTGCCAGGCGTTTGTAAATTGGACATCAAAGAATAGGTAATATTAGAAAGTTTAATTCTAATGGATTTTTAAAAGCTCGGCTTATTCCCGCGGCGCGGTGTCTAGATGCTGGTGACGAGCAAAAAACCGTAGGCCGGGATGCAGAGTAATGGCTGGCCAAGCGGGCAGGGAATCAGGGGAAGCTAGGCGAAATGGTTAAAAGTTATAAGAAAACGCTAGAGATTGGTATGTTGTTAATTTGAGAGCGTAGCCCGAGGGAGGAAGAAAGAAGAGGGCATGTTCCCAGAGTATCTCTCCTTCCCTCGTCGCTGCCCTCTTCGTCCGGCCGAGCAACGCAGAACCCCTCGAAGAAGAATCCTCTTTCTCTCTCTCTGTGGAGGAGAGTCGCCATCCGTCTTCATCGGCCGACAGCGCGACGGGCGGCGTTTGCCTCGAATGCTCACCAAGGAGTTTTCTTCTTCTTCTTCTACTCCTCCTCCTTCTCCACCTCCTCCTCCTCCTCCTTTTGCTCTTCCTCCTCCTCCTCCTTTTGCTCTTCCTCCTCCTCCTCCTTTTGCTCTTCCTCCTCCTCCTCCTCCTCCTCCTCCTCCGCCTCGCCCCGCTGCTGCTCTTCCTTCTCTTCTGCTCATCCCTTCTCGCCCCCTCTTCTTTTTTCCCTCCCTCGTACCACTCTGAAATATTCTCGTTTTGCCCTCTTGCACTCGTGTGGCAACAGCTAACCTAACCCTTTGAGATTATGCCTGGCGAGAGTGTACGTGCCACCAGCCGCGCATGTACACACGCACACGCGCGGTCACAGAGACGTTGGGTCCGCTGCAGAGTCCAGCTGGTTCTCTCTGTCCGTCCGCGCTTCTCCCTTTCCCTTGCTCCCTTGGCAAGTACAATTAATATTCTTGTTCGGGATTCGTGTACCGCCACACCGAGCGCAGATCATGTCACGGATATCTGTAAGGTATCTATCATACGCGGAACTGCGCCTACGAACCGGCGGCCAAGAGCTTTTTCTTCGTTGGACAGGCATTTTTGTTTCGGCCCGACCCCGTAAAAACTTTCCCGCGTGCCGAAGCAGGTTGCGGCCGCGGCGTTCATTAAATATCTCGGATTGCGGCCTCGAGCTCTCCCCGGCTGAGTGTGCGCGCGGCTAACGAAGCGTTCGCGTCTCCATGGTCCTCTCGCTGCACGCCATGGCTATTTCGAGTCGATCGGGATGCCGGTCTACGCCACGATCCGACGATTCGATGCATTTTCTTCCTCTATTTCGGGATTACCGTTGGTCAGGGTTATTCCAGGGTACGCGTCCATGTGGAACAGGTGTCGATCCCAAGGGACACCGGTACTTGGGTCTGACGGGGTAACCATCTTGGGACGCGAGCGAATATTCTTTCCAAAGGCATCAGTGTCTATTCGCGCGAAATTTTACGTGAAATATACCTTCCAGTATTTATTAGTTCCCAAGATATCGATATTATCGAGTCTATTGATACTATGCATTGCTATGTACACGATATTCATTGGACTATACACTGAACATCTCAGAGGTTAAGTTCAGTAACTCTGAATCGATATCGTTGCTACTCTAGTTGCAAGTAGCTACTTGATAATCTTACTACGACGATATTAATACGCGTATAGCTAGTATTCGATGCACAGTATCGAAATTTTTGATCGATATTTTGAAAAGTAACAAATACGCGAAGCTGAAAAGTACATAGTTTGAACAAACTCTACCAATCCATCACTCCTCCCAAAGTTCCCTGCCGGTCGGCTACTGATGCCTCTCAGAAGTACAATAACGCAAATCGGTGCTTCGCGGTGTAATAAAGAAACTTAGATAGAACTAAGACTCCGGTGTACCGGTCGCCTCGCATCTTAACGTGAAACCGAGTTTCCAAGAACGACATCGAAATTAGAACGCGCGTATAACGCTCGACTCAGGGGCCGCAGCTTTGAAATCAGAGTACTCTTCAAGGGTAATCCTCTTCCACTCGCATTCGCCGCGTCTCTGTGAAATATTGCCTAGGTTCCGTGGAAATCTGAAAAAAAAAAAAAAAAAAA